GCTTTCTAGTATTAGAGCAGGTGTTCTGATCCAGCCTTAGCAGAACCAAGAAACAGAACCCCTTGTCCCGAAAAAAAAACACCTCTTTATTTAAGTAGTGTGCATTCATGGCATTCATACACAGAAAAGTCCAGGCAATAATCCTTCCAAGGGTTAACTGAAGTACAGACCTTATCAGTTCTTGGATAATTGCCAGGCTGGGAGCTTCCAGCCACAAGGGTGTAAATTAAACTCTCTCAAGCAGTCTCTGAGACACGAATCACCTTCTATTTATTCCCCAACTAGGGAGGGCCATGCTCGGAGCTCAATGTGTTGCCTTTCTTCCTGAGTCAGATCCTGGTATTCAGTTGTTCTCCTCTCCTGACAGCTCTGCGCATACGTGCCTCTGTAACAGGTCCCAGCTGTTCTTCTTCCCCACTTATCTCTGACTCAGAAGGTAGCTGGGAAATGTCGAAATGCCAGACGACCCTGGCGCTATCTCTGCTTCTGACACAGAGGCATCCTTCAGAGCCTTCCCCAGACTCCAGGACTGGCCCAAATTCCTCCCCAACCTCATCATCATCCACATCTGGCAGTCCATAACAGCAGGGGTGTCAAACTCGATTTCATTGAGGGCCGCATCGGGGTTGTGTTTCACCTCTGGGGTCCAGGGTGGGTGTGGCCAATTCAACATCACTCATGTCTGGGGCACCTGTGGTGGCCTGAGCATTCTGCCAGCGAAAATGGGCTCCCGAACTCTGGCCTTCTGCAACCCTGGAGCTGAGGATGACCGTGTGCAACCCTCACAAGCTCCACGTTCACTGGAAGAGGCACCACTGGTCCTTTGCTGTTTTCAGCGCGGCCCCGCAGGCCAGATCTAAGCACCCCACAGGCCGTATCTTGCCCGCTGGCCTTGTGTTTGATACCCTTGTATTAAAGCCTTCCCCAGAGAACCAGGTCTTCCCAAAATATGCCCAAAGTATGATAATTTGAACTTGGTTGTCTGTGCTTTGAATGAGAACTCTAGGTAGCGATAAATGAGAACATTTGTAATTCAGGGTTGAAATGAGGGCTTCTTAGTGCTTGCTGAGTTTGGTTGTTTTCTTGCAGACGTTTCATTACCCAACTAGGTAACATCATCATGAACTACCTCGGAGAGACAAAGGAGCCTAAAATTGTAGGTTGATTTGTTTGATGATACACTTCTTTATTTTCTTAACTGTCCATGTTAATTTCAGACACTTCTCTCACATCAAAATTCAATATACATAATGGTTGAGTAACTGTGGTCCACACACTGAAAGTATTTAGTAGAAGAAATTTTAATTGGAGTATTTACTGTATTCCTCTGATACTTTAGATACATAGAAAGAAATGTTTAAATTTACCCTTACCATAAAATATGTTTATTATTAGAGAATATGTGTAGTTTAGGGTCAAAGTGTGGGGTCCCTGTTGCTCTCTGACTTTCGTGGTTTTCTTTCAGGCATTTCATTACTAAACTAAGTAACATCACTGGTGCAATATATTTATTACAACTGGGCTGAAATTATTCTAAGTGACCCTTGAAATGAACTTTTATTTTTTCACAAAACGAAATGGCGCCCAACTGATCTGAAAGGAAGCACACATGCCAAGAAAGAAACAATCTGTCATTTTACAGCTTGCTCACAACCATAGATGTGGCGAACTCAAGTATGCTGACCCTGTTTCTCTTACTGGTAACACTTTTTAAAATAAAGTTTTGCCTTTCCTGTTATTTAGCTGTCAAGAAAGGTGATGAAAGCTTTGCCTTTTGTTTTCTCACTCAGCATAGGTGGCAAAGTGGTCATTGTGGTATTAACATTTCATGAAAGGACTATCACACACTATCTCTATATTTTAGCAGAAAGGGAGGGGGAGATAGAAAAATAACCAAGAAAACTTTTTAAAGGTTGTCCCAGCTCCTAACTGTGGTGCACAAGTGAATTTACTCCAATATATTTCAAAAACCATGACAGGATAATTTGGGGAAGCTGATATTGTCTTCCTCTTATTTTCTGAAAGAGATTTCTCTCTGAGGGGTTGCAACCTTAGTTTATCACCATCATGATCCCAGTGACTTGTAATTTTTGTATGTATTATATGCAAAAAAAATGCTGAACGGAAGTTCAGGAAATACAGCAGGGTAGCCATCATAAAACATGAAGCAGGGACATTGGCTGCAGGCAGGTGTGGGATTCAGCTGGTTCGGCCAAACCAGATGCTAATTTTACATCTGGCTCACCTGGTAGTTGCAAGGACTAGCTGGCCCTTCCCGCCCTGTTCCTCCCCTCCCAGGAGTCTTCGTGCGGCCCATTTTGGATGCCAGGTAAATGCAGGGCCCACGTGGAGGCTCTGGTAGAGTGAAAGACAGGCCTCCTGGAAGTTCCGGAAGTCCAGAAACATGCCCATTTCAGGCCTCTGGAGGGCCTCCGGAGCTCGGGGGAGGCCATTTTTGCCCTCCGAGGCGCTAAAGGGTTGCCTCCAGAGCCTGGGGAGGGCAAAAATCCCCCCCCCCCGTGGTGCAGGAGGTCAAGTAGGCCACACCCACCATGGCCACACCCACCATGGCCACACCCACCATGGCCACACCCACCCAGCAATTGGGCAGCAACCGGGGACACAAGATTAAGATGGCAGCATGATTAAAGACCCACCATCTTTTATCGGTATCACCTAGTTGTGTTATATTGCACTATGGGAACCCTCATCTTGAATTTTTTTTTTTAACCCTTCCCTGAAGAGAAGGAATTTGAGCAATTTCTTACAAAAGCCACATGAAAAATAGGACCACATGAACCGAAAGTTAATTCTCTCAGCCAAAAAAAGCCACATCCTCACTTAGTTTCTGTCCTGAGAAGAATTTCCTCTCGGTTATTTTCTGCTATTCTAGTGAGTCCTTTCCTAGTTCTTTCTTTTTATAGGAAGATCAATACAAACCTTTACCATAAGGCAGAATGTTCAGAAGTTTAAGGATAAATCGAGGTTAATTAGTGAGAAACTCAAGGTGAAGCCCGGCAATAATTTTACATAGTGGTAAAAATGGTATGTCTTTGGGAGAAACAGATATTTGGGAGAAAGGGATAGGACAGGAGGATTGGAATTATGGTAGATACTTTTCCAATCCTTTACCATCTGTACTGGCTGCCAGACTCAGTTCGAAGTGCTGGTTTTGTTTATTTATTACTTATCCCAGCTTTGTTACTTTATAAGTAACTCAAGGAAGCAAACTACATGATTACTTTTTTCTCCCTCTATTTTCCCCACAACAACAGCCCAGTCGGGTAGGCTGTGAAACAGATTGGCCCAAAGTTACTGAGCCCCCTCCCCCCCCCAAAAAAACAAAAAAACTTATGAGTCTTCCTTGTGTCAGAAAAGTTTTGGCCGTCTCTTTCAACACCAAAAAAATCCACATTGGAGAACAGCTTTCCAGTTGCCTGGATTATGGGAAGAACTTTATCGAGAACTCAACTCTGACAAAGCACCACTCAGCACTGGGGAATTCTGGGAATTGAAGTCCACCCAAGTTAAAAATTGCCAAGGATAAGAAACATTGGTCCCTGATGACCAAAATATTGTCCAAGCCACAAGCTAATAGTATTTTTTTCAGGGGCAGTACTAGTCAACTGCAGAATAAATGAGTAATATCTTTTTTGTGTAATATTTGAAGAATATATGACTTGCCCATCTCTTTGACTCTATTCCACACACTTTAGGTCATAAATACCTACCCTGCAATTCCCTAATTGGGCTCTGCTGACCAAATGTTGCCCAAACAACAGCCTAATAATTATTCTTTTAGGTACAGCATTAGTTAATCACTGCACATCAAACAAGGAACTAAATCCAATCTGTGGGCCAGCTGCCATAGGGTCCACAACCATAGAGCACACTCCTAGAGCGGCCGCTGCTGGAAGAATTGAAAGCCAAATTCTGGAGTTTGGAAGCCGGAGAAGTTAGGCTTGAAGCGCGGCGGTGGCAAAAGTGGCGGCGGTGCCCTGGCTCTGCAGGGAGAGCTGGGCCAGGGCATGGTGAGGCTGGGAGGCATGCAAGCTGGGGGGCAGAACAGGTGCTCACGCAACCACCCTCTCCAGCCGGGCAGAGCTCCATGCACTGACCTAGGGGGTATCCTGAATGTGCCAAGCCATGGAAGCTGGGGAGCGGGCAGAGTGCCCCGTGGCTTGCCACCTTAGGGATACCCCCTAGGTCAGTGAATGGCGCTCTGCCCAGCTTGGGAGGGGGTTTGCCAGGCGGCTGCTCTTGAGTGTGGTCACCTCATGGCTGCTTCACCTCTGAGGCTGTGTCTGGCTCTTCGGGAGCCTGCTTGCAAGAGAACAGCCGCCCGGCAACTCCCCCCTCTGGCCAGGCAGAACACCACTCCCCAAACTAACAGTATCCCAAAAATAGCAAGCAATGTGAGCGCCTTCCCCCCCCCCCCCGGCTCCCGCGGCTTGATGCCTTTGGGATACCACTAGGTCGGTGAGCAGTGCTCTGTCTGGCTGGATGGGGGTGTTGTCCTGGCGGCTTATTTTCAGGGGGGGGGCCTTATATTTTTGCCCATGTGAAAAATGTGGCAAGGCCTTAGTTTCAGGACATGTTGTATTTTTGGGGAAACACGGTATATTTGCCTTCATTCGTAAGGAATTAGAAGTGAAAAAAGGCACTTCAGTCTTCCTACCTTATAAAGACATTGTTAGCTCAAAAGACAGTAAATCTTATCTTAAGTTGCAGGAGTGGGGGTGTCAGTGGTGAAATTCAATTTTTTTTACTACTGGTTTTGTGGGTGTGGGTTGGTGGCCAAAGCAGGAGAAGGATACTGCAAAATCTCCATTCCCTCCCCACTCTGGGGTCAGCCAGAAGTGGCATTTGCCGGTTCTCCGAACTACTCACAATTTCTGCTACCAGTTCTCCAGAACCTGTCAGAACCTGCTGAATTTCACCCCTGGTGTGTGTGTCTAAATGCGGGTCTCTCCACAAAAGCAAATGATCTCATTGCTTGGTTTTATTTTAATTAAGTGAATTTTATTATATAATACAGCAGTGAGCAGTAAAAAGTTGGCATAAAAAATTGAGTGGCAGAAGGAAGAGCCCATGCTCCTTAATCCCGGCCAAGTCGTATTATATAAAAGCCACCATGGGGATTATTAACACAGTAAGATTTTTTAAAATGGCCCTGATGCAGCCTAATGGCAAGCTGTGACATACTCTCCTTCCCTGCTTTCTTCATGGCCAATTTGTTTTAAATATAAGAAGGATTGTCATCATTTGGAGTATTTTTTTTTCCAAGGAAAAGGAAAATTGAAGATGCAAGGGTGGGGGGTGGGGGGTACAAGATGTTGCATCCTTTTTTAGCTGGTCCCTTATCAAAACTTCCTCCAAGGAAGTCCAGTAGGCCATAAACCACAGAGCTCCACCACAGGCCACAAGGAGGCAAAAATAACCTGCAGCAGGCTCAGTGCAAAACTTGCATCCTGGTTGTCTGATGCAAATGCTTAAACTTCAGCACTGCACAACTGTATGTGTTTTGTCAGTCTCCCCACTGTCCCCACCCCATCCCACCCCACCCAATCCCGTCTCACAAAGGAGCCACTCAATGCATCGAAGTGCATAAACTGTTGGAAAGCTCCAGGCGTTCCTGAGCATCTTCGTAGCACCTCTTTCTGTTGGCAGACGCTTCTGGGAGTTGTAGTTTTGACTAAAGTTTGGATGGTCACATTTCTGTATTCGTACATGATAAAAATAAGAGGTTGGCTAACGAGTTACTGTTGATCTTTGGTTGCAATGGAATTAATTTGGGTGCTGAGATCAAGAGGTCTTTCAGACTGACCTGGATGGAGCCCAGGGGTGAAATCAACTTACCTTCGCTACCGATTCGCAAATATGACCACACCACCTCTGCGCATGCGCAGGACCGTCTGCGCATGTGCAGAGCATCAAAAACAGGATGTGATGATGTCCGGGTGGGTGGGCGGAGCCTCCCGCCGTCGCTGCTACCGGTTCACCCAAACTGGACAGAACCGTCCGAATTGCACCACTGATGGAGCCACTGCTCTCCACAAATTAAATGCCAGGATAAAAATATCCAGATGTTCCAAAGAACCTTAGATGTGAGCTGACCGGCTCCCACCAAGATGGCTTTATGGTTGAGAAGAGCTGTAGGGCAGAGCACTCAACCCATACAGTTGGACTTAGAGGTAAAGACACCAGAGGTGGGGTTGCATCACATCCTGGTCTTCTGAGGACCTCACCAGCTGATATTGGAGATGTGGCTTAAGGCAGGGCCTCCTGTCAGAAGTGCTGGTGCTGGAGGGGGGGAATGGTGGCTTAAAAGTGGCCTGGTATTGGGTGGGGGATAACGCTTGGCTGCTTGTGCGGGAACAGAGGCCTGGCTCCTGAGAAGGATGGGAGGGGCAGATCCGACTTGCTTCCTTCATTGCTTGCTTTGCGAGTAGCTCTGATCTACAGGCGTGGTTTTTGGCAATGGTGGATGGGCTCCCAGGTTGAGGGTTGGGGCCCCTTAAGGCACAGGTATTTCCCACCCTCCCATGCATGGCAGTGGGTGCGGCTCATTCAAAAGCTGATGATGGGCCCTCCCCCCTTTCCACGCCAGCAGGAGGCGTGGCCTGACCCCAGCAAGGCCAGGACCCTTCCCAGTCACCCGAAGAGCTTGATAAAGCAAGGGTGGCAATAGGGCTTCTCGTTCTGCTCCTTGAAGGTGCCTTTGTTGAGCTGCTTGAGGCAGAAGGCGCATACGAAATGCTCCGGGTGGAACTTCCGGCCCATGGCGGTGATGCAGCGGCCGGTGATGGGTTTCTCGCAACCAGAACACAGCGAGCCCCTTTGCTTGTGGTAGTGGATTTCGCAGAAGGGGCGTCCACCATGCTCAAAGAAGCTGCCATTCATGAATGGGGTGTAGCATTCCTAGAACATAGAGCAAACCATGAGGGAATTAAAGAAGGCCACCTGTACAGGTTGTCCCTCAACTTACCAATCATTCGTTTTAGTGACTGAAGTGAAGATGACACTGAAAAAAGGGACTTACAATCAGTCCTGGCTCTTATTACCATCACAGTGTCCCCATGGTCACCTGATCAAAATTTGTGCATTTGTATTTATCATGGTTGCAGCATCCCAGGGTCATGTGGTCACCATTGGGGACCTTCCCAGCTGACTTCCAACAGGCAAAGACCGTGGGGGAATCTGGATTCACCTAACAGCCGTGCTGTTCACTTAAAAGCTGCAGTGATTGACTTGCAAAAGTCACCCATGGGTGCAGCTCAGTTAACAACTGCCTTGTTTAGCAATGGAAATGCTGGTCCCAATTGTTTTCATAAGTCGAGGACAAACTTTGGTCATAAGTCAAAGACAACCTCTAACTCCATATGGGCCTACAAGGCTACATTTCCTTGACCAGGGGTGGGATTCAGCCAGTTCAGACGGGTTCGGGCGAGCCAGGTGCTAATTTTACATCCTGGCTGGCCCCACTTATCCCAAACTGCCTCTCCCAGGAGTCTCCAGATGGACTGTTTTGAAAGCCAGGTGAAGTGCAGGGCCCATGTGGAGGCTCTGGGAGGGCGAAAAATGGGCCTCCCAGAAGTTCTGGAAGTCTGGAAACAGGTCTGTTTCCAGCCTCCAGAGGGCCTCCAGAGGCCAGAAGAGGCCATTTTCACCCTCCCGGAGGCTCAAACAAGGCCTCTGGAGCTTGGGGAGGGTGAAAACAGCCCCCACCCATGGTGCAGGGAGTCGAGTAGGCCATGTCCACCATGGCCACACTCACCCTGCAACTGGGGATAGAACCGGTTGCTAAAAATTTTGAACCCCACCCCTGTATTCCTTCCGAAAGTTTTTCTGCACTCTGGGCAAAATCTCACACAATCCAGAGCACATGCTTTTCCTACACACACCACTCCCCTACCTGGGTCTCTTTCGGCATACAATTCATCTCCCCAGCCAGGATGACTAGAAAGGCTTGAAGTCTGCCAGGCAGCAGATGGGACACCCAATCTATCTAAACTGGTTCACAAATCTGTTGGATTTGATTGCCTCCAAGTAAGGTTTCATCAGAAATTGATTTTTAGGCTGAATTTTTAGAAGATGAGAAATGCCGGGATTTGTCCAAAATTTGCCAAGTAGACCCATATGACACTCCTTATTTGTTTTTAAATTAATTTTTGTTTAGTAAATATCTAAACTGGTTTCCCTAATTTGGGCAGATCTTTCATTTTTCAAAAAGAAAAGTTCCTTGCCTTTTATCCTTCTTGAATTCAACCCATTTGAAGGGCATTTTCCCCTTAATTTGTGCTGTGCATTCTGGTTTAGATGGCATTATGTATAGATAATCCTCAACTTACAATAGTTCGTTTAGTGACCGTTCAAAGTGAAAAAAAGGGATTTGTGACTGTTTTTCACGCTTATGACTGCTGCCCCATGGCCATGTGATTTACGTTCGAATGCTTGACAACTGGCTCATATTTATGACGGTTGCAGTGTCCTGGGGTCATGTGATCAATTTTTGCAACCTTCTGACAAGCAAAGTCAACGGGGAAACCAGACTTAACAACACTGTCATGATTCACTTAACAACTGTGGCAAGAAAGGTCATAACACGGGGCAAACGTCACTTAATGAATGTCTCACTTAGCAACAGAAATTAGCAACGTCTTACCTGTCAACGACTTCTTCAGCTTCAACCACAATAATACTTGGCAAACAATCGATACAAACTCAAGGTAAAGTGCTCCAAACTCGATTGCAGAAAATACGATTTCAGCAACGCCTGGAATGCTCTACCTGACTCCATTGTTCAACGCCTGGAATGCTCTACCTGACTCCATTGTTCAACGCCTGGAATGCTCTACCTGACTCNTCAACGCCTGGAATGCTCTACCTGACTCCATTGTTACAGCCTCAAACCCTCACAGCTTTAACCTTCAACTGTCTACTGTTGACCTCACCCCATTCTTAAGAGGTCCGTAATGGGGGCGTGCATAAGTGCACCAGCGTGTCTACTGTTCCTGTCCTACTGTTCCCACTTATTTGTACTCATTTTCCTTGTTCACATCCATGTTTATACTTATACCTGATATCTTGTACATGTTTGACAAACAAATAAATAAATAAATTGTGGTCGTAAGTCAAGGACTACCTGTATCAAGATCTAAGTTCACAGCTGTTTCAAGGCTAAGCCATGGAGTAGATCCAGATACAGTAGGTCTCAGTCATGCTTTTAACATGCAGAGGAGTCCCAAAATTAGGTTCTTGGAGATATGACATTCCCCCCCAATTTCAGAGCCGTCTTCAGCTGGCACAAGTTAAGATAAATTTCATCAGTAAAATCCTGTGTTGCTTTCAGGAGCTAACACTGAACTGTTGTTTTCTTCATCTTGCAAATGTTAAGTAGGATCAAATCAACCGTTATTATTCTTCTCACCTAACAATCATCACCTTTGCAAGGGGGAGCCACAAGTAGAGATACTAACAAATTGCCCACCATGGAGAGTTTCCCTGTCTGTTGCGGCTAGGGCAAAATTAATACTATAAGACGGTGAGAGGATAACCACAACCGGTCAGTTTCATTTTCATCTTGAGAACTCAAAGTGACTAAAACCATTTCCCTTCTCTGGTTTTCTAACCATCCTGACGAAATTGCACACAATCCAACCCTGGCCCAGAGCTGATATTTACCCTGCAAACAAAACATTCTGGATGCCACAAAGCGTTGAGAGCCGAGATATAGTTCTCCAAAATAGCCTGGCTGCACCCTTGACAGCGAGTGGAGAAGAGCTCATAAAAGTCCTGGCGACAATACTGCTTCCCATCTTTCTCGTGAAAGCCTGCAGGGGGAGACAGAGAGTCAATAGAGAAGGGACCAAAAAATGGTGCAGCTCACTGCCACCCAAGGGCTATCAGTAGTACTGCACAAGGCCCGATTCAGAATTCCTTTGCAATGCTGAAGTTGTGGAAATTTACTTAAGGACACCACAAACGTTCTCCAACCAGGAGCCCTCCAACTGAGGTGGGCCTCAAGCTATATAATGGGCAGCAGTCCTTTGGGTGGGGACAAAAGGAAATGAAATTCGAAAAATTTGAGGAGACTCTAGTTGGGAAGACAGGTTGTGTGGGCAACCAATAGTCCATAAAGGCCAATAAGCACCATAGTGCTAAATTGCACACTTGTGTTGCATGCGAAAAAGATTGTTACCCAGTCATACGTTGTACCAAACTTTCTCTATGACATCATCCCATCTCTGCCATTCTCCCTATGGCTTTTGGAGTATCAAACTTTAAATGTTAAACTGACACAAAAAAAGAGATTTACTCCTGATTTAGTAGACACAACCAACTTATGTCATCCCTCTCAGATTGTTGTGGCAGATTCGGACAGTGAGGCAGTTGGGGAGGAACATGGGCCAGTCCTGGAGTCTGGGGAATGCTCGGATGAGGGCTCTGTGTCGGAGGCAGAGACGGGGCCGAGGCCGTCTGGCAGGGATCAGGGGCCTAGGGAGCTAGACAGCAGTGAAGCAGAGGAACAGCTGGAGCCTGTTCCCAGCATGCGCATGTGCAGTGTGCACTGCCAGAAGAAAAGAACAACTCAGAAATCAGGGTAGACTTGGGAGTAAAGCCACAGGATGGTGAATGGCCCCTCCCACAGGAAATAAAAGAGGAGTGAAAGGGGGGGGGGGTGGACTTTTGCAGGAAACAATTCGTTCGGTCAGTTGTTAGATTCATTTCAGGAGTGTGAATCTGTCTGTGAATTTCAGAGACACTGTGCCCAGTCTTTCCTTGGAAAACATTTACATGGCAGCTTTCTAAGATAGATAAGGTCTGTAGTCATAAATATTCCTTTGAAAGACTGTTTGCCAGGCCTTGCTGAATGTGAATGAGAAGAATTCATATTCGCTTAATAAAAGGGTTTTGTCGGGACCAGGACTCTGCCTCGTGCTTTTTGGGGAAGCTTGGGTCAGAACATAGATCAAGACAGAAAATACAACCAAACAAGTTAATTCCACATTATTGCAAAGTTCCATTTGCAAAATTTAACAAGTGAGAAAGTACAGATATCCCACTGTCTTTTTTTACAGCATAGTAAGGAGTTTATTTCTCTGCCTGTTATGCAGCTCCAGGTTTCCCGCTTTCTTATCTCATCATTCCCTAGGCAGCCTCTCTTCCTTCTGTCTCTCAAGGTCTTTCCCACATACTATTATAGACAGCCCTTGACTTACAACTATTCATTTAATGTCAGTTTGAATGTCACTGAAGAAATGACCTGATTCTTTTTCAAACTTACAACCATTGCAGCATCCCCATGGTAACGTGATCAAAATTCAGATGTTTGGCAACTGACTCACCTTTATGACCATTGCAGTGTCCCAGGGTCATGTGATCACCTTTTGTGACCTTCTGACAAGCAAAGTCCACGGGGAATCCAGATTCACTTAGCAACAATGTTACTAACTTAACAACTGCAGTGATTCACTTAACAGCTGTGGCGAGAAAGCTCATAAAATGGGGCAAAACTCACTTGACAACTGTCTTGATTGGCAACGTAAATTTTGGTTTTGATTGTGGGCATAAGTCAAGAATCACCTCAGGTAGTCGTCAGCATAGGACCATTATGCAAACACCACAGTTCTAAAGCGAATGCACAGTCATTAAGTGAATCAATGGTTCTCTATAGTGCAAAGTTTCCCGGAAACCAGAACTAAAACCGGTTTCAGGAGTGGGCTGCTATGGGTTTGCCCAGAATCAGGAGAACCCAAAGCTAACGTTATGGCTGTTTTGGAGAACCCCTAAATCCCACTCAATCCTGACAAGACCGAGTGGCTTGTGTTTTTCCCTCCCAAAGATTGGCC